AATAGTTATTTAATGTTTAAATATTATTTTGTAAATTTAATTACATAGATACAGTAATTGACTTTGATTCATTTTGTATTGGTTGTTTGAAACTATCTATTGATGTTTAAGATTACAATTGATCAGTCTCTTATTAACAAATGTGCATCCTGTGCCGACTGCCTCGATAATCCCTTAGGTTACAAGCTCTGTAAGCAAATATGGATAGTGCCTAGCAGTGGAGTCCAGGGTGCGTGTTTCGTCGAATCTGAGACTCGTAAGCTGGATGTACCTGTGTCCCAGAGTTGATGATCACTCTGGAACTCAAACGCCATTGCGTTATCTACTTAGCAACTGAGCTTGTGAAATGGTGTGAAGTTTACTTGATTTTGTATTGGTTTTTTGAATCTTCCCATTGATTTTTAGGACTGCAATTGTCCAATCTCTTATTAATATATGTGCATCCTGCGAGGATTGCCTCAATATTGCCTTAATTCAGTTTTATAAGATGGATATTAGTTGAAAGAAATATATATGTTGATTTTCACTTAGTATTGTTTGTTTGGATCCTCCCACTGATGTTTAGGACTGCAACTGGTCAGTCTCTTATTGGCATACGTGCATACTGTGCGTATTGCCTCGATATAGCCAATTAGAGACTGATTAGTTGCAATCCTAAACATCAATGGGAAGATTCAAACAAACAATACTAAGTGATTTCAAAATTATCAACCAAGTGGCCATTAGGACTCAGTAGCTGAGTGGATAATGCGATGGCGTTTGTAGCGAACGGTGCTGAGTTCTAGTCCTAGAGTAAACACTAACTGTGGGACGCAGGTACATCCAGCTGATGAGTTCCAAATAGAACGAAATACGCGTCCTGGATTCCACTGCTAGCCACTATCCATCTTTGCTTACATATGTTGATAATAAAATTTAACTACTTTTAATAAGTTTGATTATATGATTGTTTATTCCAAACTGATTTTCGATAATAAGTAAACAGATGGTAATTAATTATGGTAAAACTTTTTTTCATAAATTCTTATTAGTTTCATACGTTTTAATCTTTTTAAAATGGTAACTTCATTCTATTGATCAGTCGTAATCAGATTAATTTAGGTATTTTTGCTGATTAATTTTATAATTCACTTTTTATTATTAAAGGAATAGAAATATATTTTACATCCATAATTGTTGATGTTTAAATGTTTTCTACAAAAAATATTCCTGAACATTTCCTTGTATGGTACATTAAACTCATAGTTGGGTATACAACCTCAATTCGTCATTTAAACTGTCTATATTGTCCGACAAATGTATATCATGTTGTGTAATTGATATACGTTCGAATCCATGGATTTATGTATTTTCACTAAATTAGTTACATTATAATTTTGCCTTAAAATACAACTAACATTGATTATTGTTTTCCAATTTTTGTGTATGTCAGTAATCTGTAGCATTTGTAGTAATTCATCAATTGTATAAAATCCAAAGAGATGATGTAAACGTTATTCCATATCTTATATGGATATACATATGGATATACAATCCCAATACCATTGGATGCCAGCTCAGTGATCTTGATGTCAAGCGTTAATGCGCGAGACTGAAGTTCTTAAGTTCGAGTCCCATATGCGGGACCGTGGATTGACACTGCTGAGGAGTTCTATACTAGGACGAAACGGTCGTGCTGTACTTCTACGTTTTCAATGATGATCTAGTTTACATCAACTCATGAATTCAACTACTAACTTATTCCATATGCTCCCAATAATGGTTTGACATTTAACTGAATTTTATTTTATTAAATGATGATTATATTTTATTGAGAACTGGATTCATCTAAAAAAACTCTCGTGTTTAAATCCTTGTAAATTAATCGTTAAGCATAGCGTGAGGAATTTTAGGTAATGATCAAATAAACACACATTGTTTTCCAGTTTTCAGTATTTTAATAGTTGATACTAGTTTATAATGAAATACATCTTTCCAATAAATAAATCAACACAAGTTAACAAAATGAAATAACCGATTTACCGATTTATTTCATTTTTTGTTTTTTTTGGTCATACAAAAACAAAATCTCATGTAAATAAATGAGTAATCGTGTTGATGGCTTTTTACTGTTAAGAAATACGCTTAATGGGGGTTAGCAGATGTGAATGCTCCATATTGCAAGCAAATTAATTATTCATTAACAGATAAGTTAATTTATTAACTAATATCTCAGTACTAAAATGATTTCCACATCTTAAAAGTATGGTTAACGATTTAGATTTACATTCACTTAGTACTGTTTGTTTGAAACTTCCCATTGATATTTAGGACTGTGATTGATCAGTCTCTTATTGGCATATTTGCATATTGCCTCGATATAGCCTTAATTCACAAGCATTATAAGCAAAGATGGATAGTGGCTAGTAGTGGAATCCAGGACGCGATCAGTTGCAGTCCTGAAAATCAATGAGAAGATTCATATAAACAATACCCCCATTTCACAAGAAAGTGGTTATCAGGACTCAGTAGCTGAGTGGATATCGCGATGGCGTTTGACGTGAAAGGTACTGGGTTCGAGTCCCAGAGTAAACACCAACTCTGAGATGCAGGCGCATCCAGCTGACGAGTCCTAAAATAGGACGAAACCTGCGTTCTAGATTCCACTGCTAGCCACTATCCATCTATGACTAATATTCACATCCTTCAAAACTTATAAGTTAATTTTCAAACACTTCTATAGCTAATCTTTAACTCTAATTATGATTGAACACCATTAAATTATTTATAATTTTAGATATTTTATTATTATTATCATCATTTTTGTTTTTTATTGAAAAACAACTTGATCAGATTATCTCATCGATTATTAGTTACACAGTTCTTCATAGATTTTTGTTAGATAATACTGATTATAAACACTATAGATTAATGTCAATTCATATCATTTGTTGTGCTTCAAATGTACAACACCAAACAATAAATAAACTGTAATTTTATAAATGATGTTTGTACAAATGACCGAAACATTTAAGGAAATTTGAAACTAATCACTGTTCTTATAATGTCATAGAATGAAATATTTCACAAGTCAATGATAAATTGATTTTTCTTTTATCTCACATATTAGAACAATATTGAGTTGTATCGTTTGCAAAGAATAAGACTTTATTGCATCATCTATGTTTATAATTTTAAACGGTAAACTGTTAAGGAATTAAAAGGTTAATAACAGATTTGAATATCTGAATAAAATTGTAGCCGATTCGGTTGAAAGAAGTACGTTCCTCAAAGTTTTTACCGATGAATATGTTAATGATATCAGTAAATTCATTGATGACGAATTACCATACAACGGTTAATGACGACCTTTCTTTTATTTGATTGGATGATAACTGTTTTTATATACTTAGCGAAGCAATTCTTGATTTTTAACTAAACCAGTCAACTATCAACTGAAAATTTGTTATCGCATTTATTTTTTAAAGTTGTTCCGTTGAACTATTTAAACTTGGATTAATATTAATTTGGTTATTTATTCTCTGAAGAAGTGGCTTACACTGAGTCACGAAACCTCAGAAAATCTAATTTTTCTACTCATTGGGATATTACAAATATATAATTTATTTTTTGAAGTTAGTTTAAATCAAGTTTTCCCAGGTTTATAACACCTTAATTTAAGTCGGACGGCGACGTAATCAATTTTCATAGCCTTCGAATACTCCCTAGTGGTGACTTACAACAAAAGCGTTTCGAAAGTACAATTTAGGAGCCATGATCGGCACAGTTTTAATTTGATGGGAGCTAGACCAATGTGACTGTTAACGGATGGACAATCATACAAACTGAATGAGCTTGAAAATTTCACGTTTTAGATGCTAAGTCATGTTCCAAACTCAGGTTTAAACCTCCATATTTCGGTCCCCTTTAAGCCGTTAACCATTAAAATATCTCGAACCACGATAGAACAATCACCTAATATTAATTGGTTTTTAGTCCTACCTATTTAAATTCTATAAGTGATGTGAAATATCTTCAAAATAAACAATTATCATAAACTTATCATCCTAAATTCGTTTCAATTTTAGCTAATCATTAATCGTTTCAGTTTTGTGTAACCCTTTATAAATGGATGAAAATGTATTACTTTTACAATTATTGAATTTCATAAATAATTTTTGATGTTTCTTTTTATAAAATTTATAAATGTATTTTTAATACTAGAAGTTAAGAAATGAGAAACAGTTTTCATAACCAAGAGCATTGAAATCTTTCAGATGAGTAAATCAATTCAATCAAACTAGGAAACAAAATTCATCAACATAAAGCAATTAACTACATTTTCTTTAAAAGAATTTGTAGATATAATGTTCTATGTAACTACATTGTACATCAATATTTAAATATAAAGTTACTTATTATATGAACATATTAGTAATACCCAATTTTCAGATTGTAATAGATAAAACTTCTGTAAAAAATTAAAAATTACCTCTCCTAGAGTCAACATTACAATGTTGACATAAATGGATTGGAATATTTCAAAATAACATTTTTTCATATTTGAAAGCATGAGTCAATTAAAGCTAGACCTTAATGGAAAGTCTGGAAGTACTGGACGGCCATTTCGTCCTATTGTGGGGCTCCTCAGCAGTGCGCATCCACGACCTCGACTCGCGGGATTCGAACCCAGGACCTACCAGTCTCGCGCCACAGCACTTAACCGATGGATGCGCACTGCTGAAGAGTCCCACAATAGGACGAAACGGCTGTCCAATGCTTCCAGGTTTACGCTGGTGGTCCATCTTCAATTGACCCACGCTTTCAACTATGAAAATACTAAATCTCCACAAAAAACTCCTTTTGATTTCTTCATATGTTTACTTTTTTGCATCCATTGAAACACTAAATTTCATATAAATATCTTTACATCATACTGACCACGTCATTTATGCATTTAATCATAGAATACTACTTATATTGTTTAGTAAATTATATTACATCATTGTTAATACTCTTACCATGTTGATCAAAAGCATGAGTTATTTCATGTCCAACAACCATACCAATTCCACCAAAATTTAATGATAATGGTTGTCCAGGATTATATAATGGACTTTGAAGTATACCAGCAGGAAAAAATATATGATTTGAATTTTCTTTATAAAATGCATTTACAATATGAACTGGTAAAGACCAACTGTAAAGATTTGTATACACGAAAAAAAAGAAACTTGTGTTAAATGTATTTTCATTATATTTGGAACTTATCAGCTAAATATACTTGTAATTCAATTAATTATGATTGTCATAAAGATTGAAAAGTCACAGTTATCACCGAAAACCCAAAGATATAATATACTACTGAAATATTTATAGCCATCATATTTTCGGAGTTTTAACCTTCATTGATGTTTATACTGTTCCAATGACTATGTATAATCACAAATTAAAGGCATTCGTAAATATGTATTTTGATAAAGTCGATCTAGGAATAACTATTTTCCCATATTTAGGAGCATAAACAGTTCCTTATAAGAGTAAAATCTTATTATTTTCTTCGAATAAATAGATTAAACTGATCCGTCTCTGTTATTAAATTAATTTCACAGACTAATGACTACATACTGTTTAGACTAAGTCCATTCTGGATATTGCTACAACACAGCAAGAAAAGATTCTTGCACTCGCTATTGAACCACAGTTTATGTATGCGGTCTAGTGAAACTAATTTGCTACTCTAACGGAAGGAACTTGAGTGGGACTTGAACTGATGATCAAGTAGTTGAAGGATATGAGTTATTGGTCGAATCTATTTAGTGAACTTAGTTTAGCATACCAATAAAGATAGGTAAATCAGGGTCTGAATATCTACGACCAGAAATGTTACACTATAAAAATAACTGCAGGTTTCATAAATAATTTAAAAGCCTAGCTATCTTCTTTAAGTTAGTGAACTGAACAATGCTTTCAGTTTTCAATCAGTATCTGAATAACTGATCAGTAGTATCACTAGCTTTCACACAAACATCATGGCTCAATGACAAATGCATAGCGTTTTTTAATGAACAGGTAACACGACATAAAGATTCATACTTTAGTAGCCTAACTAATAATGATTTGGTTTTCAAAATGATAGATACGTTGTTTGATTATTAACAACAACAACAACATTTAGAAAAGAAGGTTCAAGATCATTGAACATTGGTTTTATTTTCAGTAATTCGATAAATTTTTATTATTTAATTCTTAATCTCACTTTCAGTATTTCAAAGATCTTGCCTTCTGTCACTATAAATTATATTGATGAAGAGATTGCAAGCCGGACAATACAGAATGTAGCCTTTTTTACTTTATTTTTAAAAATTCATTGGCTTATAGTTATGGTTCATGTTGTTAAATCTTATAATATGGAATTTCTATGCCAATATACTTAAATAATTTACATTGTTATTAAGAAAAATAAATTTATCATTTAAATGAAACTAAAGTAATTGCCTTTGTATTTAATATTCATGAATCAAGCTAGTATATTTTTTTAATTAGTGGTCTCTTATTTAACTCCTCCTTTAGCTCCTCCGGGGGCTACTGCCGGTCTCAAGCCCGGATAACGGAGGAAGGTTGGGCATGGGGTTAGCGACCCCATCCCGTAGAAAACTAACTCGCTAAAAAACTCTAACCAGAAAAAAATTATTCTATTATTTGAATACAACCATGAATAGATATTAGTTTGGTAAGATTAATAAAACTAATTTCACTATCTACATGTTAATGTAATTAACTTAGTTCTACACCGTATAAACGTTAGTATTACGGCTTTGTTGTTCAAATCAAAGTCAATATTAAACAGTTCAAAGCCATGAGTTTGTGTCAACCCATAAAACAATGTAGTGTAAATCTATGATAGATATTCAGTTTGGCTGAGTTAGTGACTTCAAGTCATCTTTTATAACCGTTAACATTATTCTTTGATAAGAATAATACATACGATCAAGTAATCCATAGTTTTTTCTGAGATTATGTTAGATCTTTCAACCTTAGTTGTCATTTACTTAATAAGAATTTATAGTAAAATTGTATGTTGGTGAATGAATAACCTGTTTTTCGACGAAAAGATGTATTCAGACATTCACTTGCTTATTTATAACTATATTTTAAGCTTAGGAAGTACCTAGGCACAAATTTAGTCCAATACTAATGAGATTAGTACGTTACTGACTACCATTACATTAAATGTCCCTTATATAACCCACATTAATTAATAAACTGTAGCTAATAACAATGAATACCATGCACAATTTTAGCTGGTAGGGTATATTAAATGTTAGCTATGTTTGTTTGTACTTAAGTGTTTTTCAAATTAACTCATATATTTCTTCCTCAATGTGATTGATTATTACTTCTTTGAAAGCATTTATCACTAGATTAAATAAAAGATTAGATCACTTTTATGAGCGTGTTTCATCTCACTATTTGATGTTTATCATATAATCTATCCACAATATGGCTATAAGGTTGTACAGCTTTTATCATATAACCTAATTTTATGATTAACTATATTCTTCAGAGAATTCTTTTCTTAAAGTCATGTTTTTTTTATTGCTCATGGCGTTTTCTAGATTTTACCACATGAAATAAACTAATTCAAATAGAGACATTTCGACTAAAAACCAGAGTAAATCATATTACCATATTTAAACCAGCTATTACGAAAACGGTATACTAAAGATTATGACGCTAGCCATCACCTAAAATCAATGAACCCGATTTGATTGAAACGACTGATCTATGGTATTGCAACAAGAAAATAATCGACGTAATCCTAGTGGATGTTCTTAGCTAAAACGACAAATTAGAATATCTATGCACTGAGATATCGCAAATATATCATTATTTTATTATTGACAATCTATCGAATACTCAGCTTAGTTGAAAATATCAAGCTAAAACTTGGTAATGATGTTTACAAATTGCCTTACTTGGTTTTCGGTTTGTATTACCTGTATGTGAACTATTAATCAATTATCAAAACTAAGGTGGTTGAACTTGGATTAAAATCTCTAAATTAATGTTTAAAAGTCAAATGCTTTTATCACTATACTATCATTACTAACCTGAATGTTTGTTAAATGTATCAGTAAAATGAAATCATTTATGTTTTGTACATAAAATAGACTCTAATTCTGACTGATTATGTAATGAAACACAATTACTTACCATTATCATTACAAGTTAAATTTTTAAATAACTAATACCTATGTTTAACAAAATAAAATACGAATAAACTCTCACGCACCTATCTGGATCCTGGATTATTAGTTCTCGTAGAATTTCAAGAAATAATGCTTCAGAACAATGTAATGCATTTTCAAAATAAGTTGATTCATTCAAATCAACCTGTGGAATAGAAACACAATAATTTTCATAACCAATAAACTAAGAAGATTTTTTAACTGATTATGACAGGAAATAACATAAACGATAATAAAATTGAATTCACTGGTATTGTTTGTTTTAATCTTCCCATTGATATTTAAGACTGCAATCGATCAATCTCTCATTGGCATATGGGCATACGGTGCGTATTGCCTCCATCAAACTTTATTTCACAAGCATTATAAGCAAAGATGGATAGTGGCTAGTAGTGGAATCCAGAGACTGATCAATTACAGTCCTAAACATCAATGGGAAGATTCAAACAAACAATACTAAGTGAATTTAAAGTTCACCCCATCGCACAAACAAGTGGATGTCAGCACTTAGTAACTGAGTGGATAACATGATGGCGTTTGAAGCGAAGGGTACTGGGTTCGAGTCTCTGAGTGAACATCAACTATGATATGTAGGTATACCCGGCTGATGAGTCCTAAATAGGACGAAACGCGTGTTCTGGATTCCACTGCTAGCCACTATCCATCTTGCTGACAATAAAATTGGTTAAAATGAATAAATCAAGATAATAATTCTTAGGTAAAACTTTAATTTAAAAGAAAAACTGTATAGTAAATGAAATGAATAAAATTAAGTTTACAAAAGAACGCAATTATAAGATTAAATACCAAAACAATGTATTTTTATTGCCTTACTTAATTCAGTGTATTCCAACTCTACATATTGTCGTTAAACTGATAGTGAATTTTCTATTAGACTATAGTATTCTTCAATTATGTTGAAAACTAATAGTGTCAATTGTTCGCAAGTAAAGAAAAACTGTTCATTGTTAGTTTTGTATGCTTTGTATGTATTTGTAAGAATTTTCATGATTAGATTCACGAACTAGTGTCTCCTGATGATTCACTTTCCCAAAAGAGATTGGTTGACTGTTATATTGATTTGGATAGAACCTCATAATATCATGATACACAGAGTGCCTCTATCCATGTTTTATACACAGAAAGTGTCTGTTCACCAATGATTTTGTGGCAACAATGGTAATTATAGAAAAAGTTCAATCAACTGGACACTATGCAACAACCTTAACAAATTTGTGTTTGATCACGTTATCCTCATTTCATTGTTAATACTTTTCTATTTGTAGAGGAGTGAATTGATGGTTTATTTTTCAACCAATAGCTTATATGTTCTTATTGTTCTTCGATAATTTCGGTTTGAGCAGTCAAGTCGTATCATTAACCGTCAGGTAAATAGTGTGACTCAAAGGAAAACACATAAACACGACCGAAGTCACTGAGTTCATTAAATTAAATTTATGCTTGACAAATAGATATATCCTGATCTCATTTAATTGTTCATCATTGAACTCTTCAGTTTACAGCTTTGTTTTATTGGTATTACTTTGTACTGGAAAGCTAAGTAGTCTTTTGAAATGCCTTTAATTAATTCATTTTTTTATATAACGCTTCTAAGTCAAATTAAGCATCTACATTGGCGTTCGACATTAAAGTTAAACTGTATTAGATTCACACAATCCAAATGGTTTAGGTTTGATGAAAACAAACTGTCCAACTAGTTTACGTATTCGGTTACAAACTATTTCGTCATAGATTTAAATCACTCTCCATCTACTAACGTATTAAAAACCATGTAGTACAACTAACTGAGTGCATTAACCTGAACTTATTGTGTTGCTAACAAAACTGATAAAGACACCTGAATTCTTAGATTGATTCTAATAATGAAAAAAGAAAATATTATTTCTTTAAAATAGAAAGGCATCATTTAAACAATCGAATCAAAGTTACATTAAGAATAATACGTACTAAGTATAGAAGTACCTTGATGAAATATTTTTGCAAAATTTACTGCATGCTTTCCTTTTTATAAATAATTTATGCTATCAGTAATTAGAAAATATCAAATAAACTTTAAAGCCTACTTTTCAGTCAGTCACTTACAACGTAGGACCAGGCACATCGGTCCAAGTTGCCATACCTCGTTAGCACAACAAGATGAACACCGGATTCATAGAAGTAGTTAATTTAGTGGTGGTAGTATATAAAGAAAGATTGTATGTAAGGATATAGTACAGGAAGAAAGACATATATGAAGCAATTTTAATCTCAAGGTTCAAGGGAAGATAAAGAGTGTATACACCGACGCCATTGTGATCGGTTCTGAACTATGTCACACAGAGTCTCCAGACATTGGTGACGATAGTCACTTGGGCCCCAACCAAGTAGTCTGCACCTACCAACGTGTTTTAGACTAGAAGTTAGTGACTTCAAGGACTGATGCCACGTTTTGGTTAGGTCGCCCTTAACTTTCTTCCAACCATCACCAACGCTAGTCACCATTACGCGTAGTGGTAATCAGGGTTCAGGTATAAGTAACACGTGGCCCAACCATCTCAGTTGATGAAGATTTACGATCTCATCAAGCGTAGTTTTATGATTTATTTTGTTACTTCTTAATAAATAAAGAATATAATTATTATTTAATGTGTAGTTTAAATAAAAGGGAATTTAAAAGATATAATTAAAGTTTCAATAATATGACAGAATATCTATTCTATGACAACCAGTTTTGATAAATTGATTTTGCCATGAAACTTCTAGGCTGAGAACCTGGGAATTATGTAACAATTTATAGTCAGTATGAATCCCAGTATGAAGATAAAAAAATAATCGTTTCAGAGGTCCATTCGTACTATTTCTTTTGAAAATCTACCTCTTTAAAAAAAGGATGTAAAAGCTTACGGAAATTTGTAATCATACAAATATTTGATGATAACCTGAAACTGTTAAAATAATTTTCGTATATTATCTCATTTATCAAGTATACATCTATGTACTCGGCTTCGAGCAACACTTTTGGAGTAAAGTCTTGTGATATAAGGCAATCAGTTGAATCCAAGTGAGTAAAATAACAATAAAATCTGTAAGCTACTTATTTAAAGATCACTGATTTATTGAGTAAGTCTTATCTATTTGAAACTAGAATAATTTAGCAAACTACCCTCAATAAACTGAATATTAATATTAAATTCAGTCAGGACAATATTAATGCTTCATGGAAACCAAATTAACAAAGATATTAAGGTATTTGTGTTAAAGTATTAATATTGCAAAAGATTAACCAAGACATTAAAGTTTCAACTTGATCAATTCCACCTATAAAAAGGATGTTTAGTTACATACTTGTTAAAGAAATACAAGGATATTAACCATAACCAAAAATAGAAGCAAACTAGTGAATGACAATAATATATGCACGCACAACTTACAAAATATGAAAACTCCTTATTTTCATTTGTTATATTATTAATATTTTGTGGATAACCAACTGAAGCTTTCATTGAATCCACCTGATATAGTTGAATTTTTAGAAAAATATCTAAATAAATTTTACTGAAATTAATTTTTATCATACCTTTTCAATTGCTTTAAGTTTGTCATCTTCTTGCATCCATTTGACACTAGCGAAATTCTCTTTAAAAGCAGTCTTGATTTCAGTGATCATTTCTGTAGCCTAAATTTTAAAAGTAAATAATGACAATAAATAACATTGTTGATATAGTGAGCATGCTATTAGTATAGTACAAAGGTTCTGAATCACCTATTATAGTATAACTATCATAATGTGACTAAAATACTATTTTGACTTTCAGTGCTAAATAAACTTCATCGAGATTATTACTGAAATTAATAGATCGTTGAATTAAGTTTGTTGCCAACTTTCAAGACAAAAAATCTGAAATCTTAAGAGCTATCAAGTTATTTATTTAGAGTAAAAAACTTGAAAATGACAATCCCTTACTAGATAAAAGTACAAACATCCTAACTCGGAGAAAGATGCGACACTGAAATCAAAGCCATAAATTTATTATCCGTAGACTATTGCGATATGATTATTTTACGAACAATTCTAGGTCAATAAGTTTCCAAACAGTCTCATATTGAGTTCATGAGTCAATTCAAGCTAGACAAACATGGAAAACCTGGAAGCACTGGACGGCCATTTCGTTCTAGTATGGTACTCTTCAGCAGTGCTCACCTCCACGCGCACGAGATTCGAATCTAAGACCTCTGGTCTCGCGCGTGAGCGTTTAAATTCCAGATCACTGATTTGGTATCCAATGGTGTTAATGTCTAACTTTCACCGATCTATGAAAATGCGCCACCGTCCACCATTGTCTACAGTGAATTGCTATCTAACAACAGACCCGGTTGAACTCCATTGGTCACGGCTTCTCACCAGAACTTCAGGAAATACCTGCTGAAGTCAGTCACTAGTGAGCACATGATGGTTATTATCAGAAAGGGATGTTGCGAAGATTTTAGTGATTGAAAAGTTAAATTCATGAGTCAATTAAAGCTAGACCATAAACCATTACAATCTATCGTGTATATACATTACTAATTAAACAAATACATTACAACTTATGTTAATAATAACAGAAAATTTATGTTATAATTAACTTACTGCTTCTTTACTTTTTTGATTAAATCTTTCGTGAACAAAATGTCTACCAATCACCGTCCCGAATGGAAATTGTACTTCATTAACGCATATCTGCCAGCGATCTGGATCAACTTTCAATCCTGAGGACAGATATGAAACAGTTTAAAGGATGTTGTTTTAGATGTTATTGTGATGTTAGAATGTACGATTTACAGATAAACGAAAGAAAGTTTATTTGAACGGCTATCATTTGAAGTGCATGAAAATAATGTTTAAAGAACTGGAATCTGTAAATTTATCCGTTATTAAACTGACATTCCATTCAAAATTATGGACTGTCATAAAGAAAACAGACAAGTTAGAAGATTCTTAAACATAGTGAAAGATCTTTCATATCATAATAAGTTCGAATAAAACAGAGAACCAGGCAATTATTCAGGTAAGGTCAAGAGAAAATTAGAGATAAGTGTTTCTTGAAAGCTGACTGACCCTAGTAGCGATAATTTATTGTGCTACACGTTTGTAGACTTTGTCCAAGAAAGCAAAAACAAGCTTCAGAACACTTAGTTGACAGAGATTTGTACCAAATTATATTACAAGCGCCTCTAAAGAAATTTTTGACATAGTTATGCCTGTTACCCATCATAGAGGAGCATAGGCTACCCACCAGCATTCTAAAGCCAACTCTGTCCTGGACAGTTGTTTCCAGTTCCTCTTCATCCTTTTCGTGTCTGCTTCAGATTTCCAGCACAATGTACTCCTTTAGTCTTCCTCTTTTCCGTTTCCATTCACGATTCCAAGTTAGTGCTTGTTTCGTGATGCCGTTTGATGATTTCCTCAATATATTTTCTATCCATTTCTCACTTCCTTTCCGTATTTCCTCTTCAAATGGAAGCTGGTTTATTCTCTTCCACCGTAGCCTGTTGCTGATGATATCCGGTCAATAGACATTGAGTATCTTGTGTATACAATTGTTTATAAATACTTTTACTTTTTGATGATGGTTGTAGTGGTTTTGCACGTTTGAGCTCCGTACAGTAGAACTGTCTTGACGTTCGTACTGAAGATTCTGACTTTGATGTTGGTTTGCAGGCAGTTGTTTACAGTCCCACATGTTCTTCAGTTGTTGGAATGCTGTTCTTACTTTTCCAGTCCCTGTCTTAACATCTGCACTGGAGCCTCCTTGTTCCTTGACGTTGCTATGTAGGTATGTGAAAGTTTGCACCTCTTCCAGAGATTTTTCATCAAGTATAATTGAGTTGATGTCCCTTGTTTCGTATTTGAGGATCTTGGTTTTTCCCTTGTGTATATTGAAGCTTACTGATGTAGAAGCTCCTTTTACACTGGTTGTATTGACCTGCATTTGTTTGTGTGTATGGTATAGATGGGCTAGGTCATCTGCGATGCTTGTCTAAATTATAATCACACTATCATTCTACAATTCATGAAATGAGATATTAATCAGGCTGTATTCAAATATACAGTAATATTTAAATGCATATACTAAAAATACAAAACTAATCAAGACTATTTGTTAGTCAGTCGTAAACATAAGAAAATACTGCACAACTTTTCATAGTAAGTAAAAAGTATGTAACAGATAAACTAGTAAATATAAGGACAAATGGCATGAAAACAAACAAATATACCGATAAAAGAAATAGGTCAAAGCTAGAAAAGTAAGGCTATTAAAATAATCATAATTAAAAGTTACGTAATTAAAAGTGTGAATAGTAGAAAAGATAAAATGCTCATCGTAATTAAGTTAGACAAAGGAGGAGTGCTGGTTTGAATGAACTAAACAGATTATGTGGGCGGAGTAAAATCAAGATTGAACAACACTGCTAAATTACTAAACTTAACAACAGTCAGTATGCAAATGTGGAGGCATAGAAATGACTAAATAATTCCCTTGAAGTATTGAATATTAAAGAGACAACTACTACAACTATTCATGATGTATTTTCATGTGCGAAGCTAAAGGTTTTGGGTACGATTCCAGGTTGGGTGTTCATGAATGCACAGCCTTGTGGAACTCCATATAAGGACGTAACGGTCGTCCAGCACTTCAAAGCTTAGAATTATTGTCTAACTTGAATATGTTCATGGTTTCAGTGAAAATAACATTATTCACTTATATGTGCTGCTTTAAATTACAGTTTAGGAAGTTTTATTATAACAAGGATTTCTAATAAGGTTTCTGATCATCCTTCCTGAAAAATACCACAAAATCTGGGATTCTCCATATATGCACTTACAAGCGAACTGATGGAAATGAAGTCGATATTTTTTAATTTGAAGATCACAAATTGAATTGAATTTCATGCAACTAAATAACTAAAGACAGACTGATGTAAACGTATTCGACACCCATTTATATAAAGGCCTTAAGTATTTTCTGATTTGGAGTGGAAACTTTACACGTAATCTATTGACTAAAAGTTAAGTGTTATCACTAAACGTCAAAAAATGTAGGACAAAATTAATCAACGCTTTCCCCTAAAAAGACCGCTGTTCTCAGTTGCCCGTGACGGAACCTCTACAAACATAAAATGTGGTCGATCTCCAGTTTTTTTGGATATTGAGCAAGTTGTAGATTTTTATCTACTATGTAATCCCAACTGATCAGTGATATTCAACCAATGAAATAATTTCATCCCAGACATTTGTAAACCCAGTTGACTATATTTATAACACTCGTTTCCATACCCATACAATTGTGAGATAACTATAGCTATCATTTTTAGTTCGGTTTCGTACTTTTCTATTATTCAGCATGGTAGAAATTTTGGTTCAACTGCATCAGTCATACAAAGTCATATCATTAACCGATCTGTTACAATAAAGACAGCTTTTACCTTGATTTGTAGCACAGGTACATAACATAATATGTTTTCAAACACTACCTCACTTCACTTTAAAGGCGAAAGCAAATGTGCCACATAATTTATTCAGTATAGTAGTAGTAAAATTATCAAAAACATCTGATGTTTGAAAAAATGAAACAATACTTTATGCTGACAATAGTCTTTGGTTCATTTTTTAAATAAAAGAACATATCATCATTACCTACCTAGTTCGGCTTCTCTGTATTCTTCCAACATTTCGCTAACTTCTTTTGGCATTCGTGAGACTGTTTTCCACATAAAACTCCATACAGCAGCATTGTGTAAAGTTCTAAATAACAATTTATTTGTTATATATATATCATAATTACACATTTCATAAAAACTAGGTTTCAAATGTTCAGTAATGTGTTTGGTCAAATGTTTATAATTATCAGTCAGTTCTTGTTTGATTGTAAATACTTTTTTAATTTCACTGTCATGAATGATCATATTATAATTACTGTCATGAACAATATGCTTACTCGAAAGACCTTATTATTATAATAAAATATTTAACTTTGTCGTCAATCCAAAAAGTACTTCAGATGAAGTCATAAAAAATTATTTTCAAACTTCAAGGGATGTCTTTTGTTATTTCTTTCAAAACATTTCTTATTCTGAGCTAAAATGTTGAAAATGTTGAAAATCCTAAGGATCAATGTTTTTCTGTTGCTTTATGGTCTCACATTTATCTTCATATCATTCTGATTCAACACCCACATGATCTTTTTTTTCAGGAGCAAATTAGACTAGAAGAAACTATATCCAGTGAATAGTCAGGGTGACTTAGTTTGATGGTTGAACTGCACTTGCGTTTTTAAAATATTATTTAATTGACTTCATTTCGTGTATGTGAAGAAGAGACTGAGAAAATCAAAAATATCATTGACTGTTGTCTAAGCAAAAAATAAACCATTAGGGATAAACTGATTCAATGCACTCGATCAATTTTAATAGTACTAATAGTCCAATTTAGGATTGACAAAGCAAGGGCAGCATTTTTAAATTTGAACAACATATGGAACCCAAAACAACTCTCACCTAATTTCAAAGTGAGAATCTTCAATACGAACGTCAAGACACTCATACTGTACCGAGCTTAAACGTGGAGAACCACTACATCCATCGTCAAGAAGGTGCAAGTATTTATAAATTGTTGTATACGTAAAATACTCAACATTCACTGACCGGATGCTATCAGCAACAGCGTTTTATGGGAGAGGACAAACCAGCTTCCAGCTGAAGAGGAAATCAGGAAAAGACGTTGGAAGTGGGTCGAACATACATTAAAGAAATAATCAAACTGCATCACGAGGCAAGCCCTAACTTGGAATGGTGAATGGAAACGGAAAAGTGGAAGACCAAAGAACACGTTACTCCGGGGAATGGAAGCAGATATGAGAAGAATGAATGACAACTGGAAAGAACTGGAAAGGATTGCCCAGGACAGGGTTGGATGGCGAATACTGGTGTGCGGCCTATGCTCCTCCACGAGGGGTCACAGGCGTAAGTAAGTATGTAATAACCAGATTTACATACTAATCTGATCCATCTTATGTATTACATTTAAATTAGGTAATTCAGCAAATTACACATGGTTAACTTAAATCACCAACAAGAAATTTTATCAAATATTTAATTAAGGTATAAAATCAACTAATCTCAAGCACATTTAGTGAACAACAAATATTTCTTTCCTATTTTAACAATAATTATTGTAAACATACCGAATACCAGTCTCTGTTTTCAAATATTCTTTAAATAAAGCGCATCGTTCTCTGAAAAATGTACGATCGTGTAATGCAATCACTTGATCTCGAGGAAGTTTGAAGTTTAGTGGTGCATATAAATAATCGAATAATTTCGTCCAATTAAGCTATTGAATAATAAATGAAAGTGTAAAGAAATTCGAAGACAAATCATATAACCATCATTCGCAATGAGTAAGATACTATGATAAAGTTTAATTAATTTGAGTAGGTCAAACGATGATCGACCAGTTGTAAGCTAATTTTAGCGAATTCTAGCTCTATGTATTGAATAGCAAAGTCTATTTATTATAATTTTCCCTAGACTCATGTATATCTATATGTTATCTTTGGAAATTCTTTAATGGAGATCTTTTCACTACGCCCAATAATCTGAGAAATTTTAGGAGACTGATTAACTAAATGAAAATTAAATGTCTTCAGATAGATTACTGTAATATAGATACTACTTTAACCAAATATTTTCCTATCATATTTTTATCTATTAAAAGTCTATTGTAAATGATATTTTCGATAAACAAATAATTTAGGTGATAAAAAGTCACCAGTGTTTTCATTTTCTTAATCTGAATGCAATATTGATGAAAGAAAATTACTGCAAGCACCTATATACTTTCCATGTCCCATAACGTAATCTGTATTAAATGGAAGATGTAGTCTAAGTAATAATAACTTCTTTTCATCTAGAGAACTACATCATTTATCAGTTTATCTAGTTTACGCACAATAAATATTTTGTCTTAAACGTAACTGTAGATAATTTTAATAAGATATAGTTTGTTTTATCATCACATCAAGATAGAATACTTTACTCAAATTTATCTAAAGTATTGTGAAAATGTACATAGATGTGATAGGAAGAAAAACCTCAAACTACATTAACTAAAATGCACTAACTAATGCCAAAATACGCGAATCTAAGAGAATGATTTTCAGGATGATATTGACAGCAAACATATAATATTGCCAATGTATAGCTACATTTCAATAAACAGCTGTACAAAAAGTCTTTTTCATCCTGTATATATATTACAGAATTAAATTTCATCTCAGTATCTTTAATGTTTGCATAAGTTAAGTATAATATAGATTAACTCTTATATAATTAAAACTGACCACAGGACAAATAGTAGATAAATTTTGTAGAGTAACAAGTTCGTAGTTTTTCTCCGGGTCTCTTTCACTACGATCTTCAGTTCTCTGTTAAGATAAGTAAATGAGTAAAAACAGTTAATTGTAATGTAAATTTATGAAATACGCTTAATCATTTTTTTCTAATGTAAGACAATAATTTTCTATGTCTTCATCACGATATTAAGGAAAATCCCTGTTCATTATTTAATGTAGTGAGCACATCTGGCTTGATCATTGAATTGTGTCACTGAAAATTCCATAAACTAAATGCAGAGTAGCAAAGAGTAATCTGTTGGAAAAATCCAAATCATAGCTGAACACTTCTGAAAAGGTAGCAGAAGTGATCTATTTGTTTTTTTTTGTTTATTTTAATCGTTTTGAAGAAACTATGTACTTGATATAATGAAGAAAACTTTAGTGATAATGTTAATTAATAAACATTCAAGATATGTGCCGGTAGTAGTAGAGAATGTATAATCTCTTTTTATCAATAGTTCAACATAAACAGAATGTCATTTACGAAGACATAAAGTTGATAATTTCATCGTTCCATCAAAACTCAATCAACAGTGCAACAGCAAAGAAATCTTGCTTAGAAAAATAAATCACTTTTAGATTATGCAAGATAATTCGAAAACTTAACATAAAGTGTTGTCAATGTATAACAAAAATTATCTTAGAATCAAGCTCATCTATACATACCAACTACTTAAACGAACAGTTAGTAGAAAGCATGAAATCTAATCGAAATCAAATATCTTTCATGATCCGTTAACATAGATATTGGAAATATTGGAGAAAATATGTGGTAGCAATTTCTCACGATTACTTCACGAGCAAATATTGCCAAAAGTATCCTGTCTCATCAATCAATCATTTAATTATAAAGTTTTTAATGTCAGACTTAAATGATAAACTTTAGTCACTACTGTAGATAGCAATATTAACCACATGGCAAACAGTCTCTGATCGATTTGTAATCACTGGAACAAACAAGGAACAGTAAAAAATATCCTTAATAAAAGTAAAACAATAAATAACTTAAAAGCACCTACCAATGCAATTTGTTTTTCAAATTCATAAATTTGATCTACTTCATGTAACGATGAGTTTGGTACTCCTAACAAGAGGGAATAATTCCGCATAAATCGACGAAATGCTCCAGTTTTCTAAAGTGACACAATGTACACAGAAGAATCAATGTTGGATTTCATAGATTTAATACTATTTATGTCTTAAATATCAAGAACATTCATGACAACAGTAACAGTTTGTAGTGTACATTGATGCGATGTGTGATGTGAATGATGTGAATGTAAATACTTCGGACATTACAACCCAGTTTGTAATATAATCTTTGTAATATATATATCTTATCTTTGTAATATAATGAAAATCTTTTCCTGTTTGGACTCTTTTTTTTTATCTTCACTACTAGAGTACATTTCGAACATATTTAGAGATTTCTATTTCAATAACTAAGAACAGCATTAATTGTTATTGTGCTACATATGCCTAATTCTCTTTATATTTGGCAGATATAATAAATCATTTATACAGAAGCAGTATATCATAGAACAAAATTCTATTCATCTGAAGAATGTTTTCTCAGTATGTCTGATGAATTTCAGTGGAAATATTCCTATCCTATCTACTCCTATTGTCCAAAATTTACTAGAATCATACGTACAAACGATTTTCGTAGTAGCTTTTCGAATTTAGTCACCTAACTAGCAAGTCAACGTTTAAAAATACAACAGGGGACAACATACTTTAGAAATTTTAACCAATAAGAAATGTTGACTGTAGTTTTAACCTTATAAAAATCTTGCTCACACTAAAACCCTTAATCCACTTAAAAATGGTTGCATTCTTCAACATGACATATTTGCCTAAACTGCGCTGAATATTTCATAAATCTTCTAAGAGATTAACAACATGCTATACTCAATGACCTTAACAACTTGGTTTCTATATCTATTGGATAGATCATGTATTTACTCAAAACAAGATATCAAAATGACATATTGATAATGAAATTTTACACTATAATGTATAAAAGTGAACAGTTTAAATATCCTATCACACTAAGGAATTCAAATCATCTCTGTCATCATGTATCATACAACATATGAAAGAACAATTCTCATTTTGGCTGTACAAAAATACATCGTCCAGCAAGACTACATAATCATATATGTTAAACAGTTATGTTCCAAATTATAGAATAAATCTCTTATAAATCCACATTCATAAACTATTCTATAAGTTGAAGTACCGTAAATTAGCTACTTTGTAAATACTGGACACATATTTATTTATGCTTGTGAATTAAGGCTATATCGAGGCAATACGCACAGTATACACATATGTCAATGAGAGACTGACCAATTGCAGTCCTAAACATCAATGGGAAGATTCAAAAAACAAACAATACCAAGTGAATTTATTTATATTGTTGTAAAGTAATTAGAAAACACAAACTAACTTTTGAGTAAGCTGGATACGAATCGTTCACATAATATTCTCTTTGTAAACTAAGATAACCTTCAACAAGCTTGAAAAAAAATGACAAATTTATTATTGATCACACTATCCGTTTAATTTGAATTATAATATGGTTGGAAAAGTTTGTTGATCATTTCAAAGCATATAAGTTATAAAAAGCAATTACTTTAGAAGTTTTGAATTTTGCCAAATATTTCTTTTGTATGTCGATAAACTAACCATATAGTATTTTAAATGTTTTTGATACGAGATGAAGGTGTAGTGAACAAAAAACCAACTGGTAATCAATTACATCTTAGTAACATCTTAGTAAAATCTGAGAACTATACAGTAAATACTTCATTTGCAAAATGTCAATCAACGTTCTCAAACTTCACTGTTCCTTCATTTCCATAGCAATCATTGTTTGTTCTCATTCTCTTTACTTTGATCTTCTTAACCTTCTGCCACTAGGTATTTCATTTTCGATTGATGATATATCCTACTTATTCTGTTGACATCAGTTATACACACCACAAAGATATGATATAATCTGTTAAAATTTAAAGCTATTATTTATTTCGGATTGATGTCAACAGAGAATGAATGGTAAGCCAGAGGATACTTAACAACTGTTTCGTCTTCGTTTCAATATATTCAGCAATCCAACTTAATGATACCAAACAAAATGTATCCATTACATTCCGGTCTCGCGACTAGAACAACATTCTTTGAGAAATATTCACAAACTAGCTTTAATGATGTTTGATATAAGTATCAAATATTATTTTGAATAAATTGGTTTCCCATAAATCATCATTAAAAATTTTTAAAAAAACTTATTCTGTTTCTTCATGGTTCTATCATTATAAGACAGATATCGAATTTCCTTTACTTCGTACTTGATATTTCAGATATCTATATTCTCCTTTATATTGAACACTAGATTAATGAAAAATCCAGTAATTTGATTGCTATTTTACTTTAGAAAATGGTTTTAGTTTACCTGTAAACTATATAGTTGAAATCATGAGTCAATTGAAGCTAGACCACCATGGAAAACCTGGAAGCACTGGACGGCCGTTTCGTCCTATTGTGGGACTCCTCAGCAGTGCGCATCCACGACTTCGCCTCACGGGATTCGAACCCAGGGTCTATCGGTTAAGCGTCCTGGCGCGAGACTGGTAGGCCCTGGGTTCGAATCCCGTGAGGCGAAGTCGTGGATGCGCACTGCTGAGGAGTCCCACAATAGGACGAAACGACCGTCCAGTGCTTCCAGGTTTTCCATGGTGGTCTAGCTTCAATTGACTCATGATTTCAACTATATAAAATTATTAAAATCTCCACAAAACCCCCTTCTGATAATTATCTGTGAGCTACTTAATAAATCTACAGATAACAAATAAGATAACAGGGTTCAATCCTGTCATTCTATGAAAAAGATTTTTTGTAAATCATTTTGTTTTTGCTGTAAAATTTGGCTGAGAAAATCTTTCGAAATCTACTGAGCTAAAATCATATTGGAACAGGAGAGTCTGAGCAATATATCTTTGCAGATTGCAGATGATCCAAAGGAGGAAAAGTAGATAATATGGCAAGAGATCAAATCAAATAACAGCATCAGCTCTGGCAATCTCATATATATATATATATATATATATATATATATGAAAGTATGGTCAAATATCGCAGTGTTAGTTACGGACATTAAAAATGATCCTTTTGCTGGATAGAGTCTAGGTCTCAACAGGAAAATGTCAGCTAAAATTTTTCATTTTTAAAACTTAACAAAGATGAATACAGTATACGATACAAAGTTTAGTTATGGTGCTCTATCTGAGTTCCAAAATGAACTGCTTGCAATAATCAACTCTTCATAAAGCCAACAATTGACCTATGCCTCAATGAAAACATATAGAAATTTTACTTACATCTATTACAAATCGAGAAGAATTCATCTGATCTTGTCCAACTAGAATACGGGATAATGGTGTTGCACCTGAATACTTTAACATCGGTAAATACATATCTGTTAAATCAAATTTGTCAGGACGAAAAAGATCAGCATTTTGTTGCCCAGCTGCTGGATTCCCAGTTGGTAATAATAACCAACCATTAAATATTTTTTTAATATAATTATAAAGAGGTGTTAATTTTCGGCTATCAATAACAGATTCATTCATACATGAATTGTAATAAATTTGTGCCAAAGTGAAACCGCGACTAGTGTCTGTATGCGAACGATTTTCTGTAAAACATATAATAAGGAATAGTCATCCCATAGATAAGAAACATAGCATTAAATAATACAAATTTTATAATCTTAAAATCAACTGTTCACGTTTTTCATTATCACAATAAATAGATCGTCCAAAACTTTATTTGTTATAAAACCTAATAAATGGTAGGAACCAAATCTCGATAAAACTTAATCAAGTATGATGAATGTAAATAATAGCTGTTGAAAGCTAAATCTTTAATGACAAAGAATGTCAGAAGGCAGAAAAACATGCTATATGTTCTAATATTTAATGAACGAAATAGTGATTTGAATGCAAGACGAAATCTAATATCAGAATTGCTCTGAATTGACTTTTTGATAAATTAAAGATCCTTAGCTGATACACATAACTAAAATGACTAAGTACAGCCTATGCTATCTTATCTCTAAACGCTTACCCGAGTAAAATTAGCTTTCGGTGTTGTTTGTAGCAGTGATCATGTACAAGGAAAAACTAAATCAAGCTCTTAGAAATCTCTTGAAAATCCTTCATTTACAGTTTCCTGAATAAAAAGATTTAGAACACTTTTTACTTACCAAGTAATTCTTTGGTGAAATACTCATCATATTTGGATAGTTTACGCATTACAGACCAGGAATTATGACCTTGTGGTATATAATTTTGTTTTATCCATCCATTGCAGGAATATGCAAAGAAATCATCACAAGGTGATACACTTGTATCCATATTGCTAAGAATTTCTGAAGCAACTTTAATACATGTAGGTTCTAGGCAGGGTTTATCTGTAAATGGCAGAAAAAAGACAGTTATTACTTTGATGTATTAAAAACTATCATTTGGATAGTTAACTTATCGAGAGATAATATTATACAGATAAGTTAAATATCTCTTCACTAATACAAGTTATTTGCTCGTGTAAGTGATCTACTAGGTATTGAAGATGATAACTTAGATAAACACGCGAAACCTCGAACATGATAACAAAAGAAAAGCACCTAGCAATTTAAATTATTTTGGCTATTGAGCTTCAATGTATATTGAGTAAGAAACTTGAGAACAACTAAAGCTTCAAAGATTCAAGTCTATTCTTTTGTCAATAGAATCTATTAGAGTGAATAACTTGATGACTGAAATCAATCATTTATCCAGTTGTTTACCACCTGACATTTGCAGATCTAAAAATGTGTATTAGAACTATGGACTGTTTAGGGGGTTCAGTTTTCAGCCAGATGAATAAATAAGTTATTCCCCATACAGTATTATGATAACAAACAAACCTACACTTAGACATATCAGAACATGGAACTAGTCTTATAAATCAGTCAGTGACTACTTATCACAGTCATTTGAAAAAGTACACACTTCTTGATTAGATTCTTTGTAATCAAATAATCTGTAAATGGAGATCCAAAAAGATATAACTAAAAATTTGTAACAGTAGAGTAGATTCTTTATGCGTCAGTTTTCATTGAAAATTTAGGACATGACGCTAGTCTTCTGAATTTATCTGTTTGTTGATTTTGTTTCTACATAAGGTTAGTAAAGTATGACAGTAATAATAATAGTAATAATTACACTGGCTTTATTCAATACTACTGTCATTGTTAAACTGCATCGGCTTTCATACAACAAATCACATGTGTAAAACCGCCACAACTTGAAAGGTGACTTTATGACTTTATTATAATCAGAAGTAAATGAACTAAAAAAGTGATTCACTTGGTATTGTTTATTTGAATCCTCCCATTGATTTTTAGGACTGCAATTGATCAGTCTCTAATTGGCATATGTGCATACTGTGCGTATTGCCTTGATATAGCCTTAATTCACAAGCACTATAAGCAAAGATCGACAGTAACTAGCAGTGGAATCCAGGACGCGATCAATTGCAGTCCTGAAAATTAATGGGAAGATACAAACAAACAATACTAAGTGAATTCAAACTTCACCCCATTGCACAAGCAAGTGGCTATCAGGACTCAGTAACTGATTGCATAACGTGATGGAGTTTGAATCGAACAGTACTGGGTTCGAGTCCCAGAGTGACACATCAATTCTGAGATGCAGGTGCATCCATCTGACGAGCCCTAAATAGGTTGAAACGCGCGTCCTGGATTCCACTGCTAGCCACTATCCATTTTTGCTTATAAAAAATGATTACTTCTTTTAAATTTATAAATTATTGTTCAAGATAAGACGTAATAAGGTAACACACATTTTTGATTGCAAAAATAAAGTAATATGAGTTTCAAACCAGCACTTAGTTTAACTCTTTTTGCACTATCAAACAGCAGATTTAAACAAAAAGTATTACATTGTTTTCGACTATCTGTAATGGTTTGACCTAAAGTGCATCATGCTGAAACTTCAAGTATCAACTTGAAACTTACGTTAATACTTTATTTAACATATTTAAGCTTGGATCGAACGCGTCTCTTCACTCATATTACATGGAATATAAGATGAAAACTATGAAGATACGTTTATGACTATTTTAAGCTTTCATAATCGATTTTTGATTAATTTTTGTTATTGAAAGTCATCCTCCAAGATTATCAATATGAATGGAAACAAAGCGAGTTCAAAACTGTCAATTGAAACGAGGTAGATCGTCAATATAAAAATTCTCCGGTATTTACTTCCATAGTTTTAATTCAGGGTTAAGAAACAAAAGAGTTCATAAACGGATGGAATGACTGATTGTTCTTTTTATCAACTTCCATTTTACAGAATAAACTTATCCAACTAATAATTTGGAATGTTAGATTTCTCTTAATTCAGTCAAACAGAAATATTGGCTACTTTGATTAATTTCACGACTGTTCATTAGTAGTAGTCATGAACCTCTTAATATGTGACAGTCAAGTTTTTTTCAAAAAATTTAAACCCGTGAACTTGTTTAAAAATATTAAAGTTAGAAGCTCCAGTCAGTTTTAGGCTACATCTTGTTTGCCTTTCCATGGTATAGGCAGTAACTTTGTTGGTGAGACTATAAATCATGGACGAACCAACCAGGTTTAATATAACAGGTCTTGTATTTTGGTGCGAAATTCATTTATTCATTTAGTCAAAGAGCGTTTTGGGATTTTAGCTGATGTCAGTTAGTAATGAAAACTTCAAACTCAATTGTAAATCATAATCCTTATTCTTTACACAGGTTTATAATTCTCATTTAGTCATAATGAGTAGGTGGACGTTCTCAAGGCCACTTTAACGTCGCTCAAAGGCCGTTCATAAATTATAATCGCACCGAATTGTCTAATCAATAAAGTTGTTTGGTAATCTACAGAACCTATTTCTAAAACTATATTGTTGCATAACTTACATAATTCAAAATCATCTAAAATGATTCTCTTAAATAATTCTTCTTTTCCCATACATAGTGATGTAATTTATCACAAATTCACGTCATTAATATTTAATTTTTTCATTCAATTACAAACATATAATGCGTTTTTAAACTCTTCTTTCGAGGATTCAATTGGATTTCGACGTGTTAAGACTTATGAATAGAAATAATTTTATGTTTTGTTTGCTTGTTTTACAAAATTACATCCCTCTTAACGTTAGACAATCCATAGTAAGAAGTAAAAAGTCATTCAGAAACGTCGTTAGATGTCAAAAATACATTTTTCTATGACAAATTGTGAATGTGTAACGACATTTGTAATGAAAGGAAATGAATAAAAGGAATTTATTAGGTCACGATCAAAATCAGTCACTATTATATAATGTAAAAAAATTATCCAGCGTAAAAAATTGTACTTCGTAGCTTTATCGCGTACGTCAGAAGCATACGGAAAAATGTGTCGATGGTACTATAGTTATGTGTTTTAAAAAAGAGACTTGTCATGTATAGTAGAAGATTTAAAATCAACAGAAGTCGGCCTGTGTTGTAATATTAATGGATATAAAATAATAAGCGTGAGAAATATGGTTCATAAAGAAAAAGAATGGAAAATTAGAAGTATGTGAAAATTTCATGTTCAGTATTTAAGTAAAAGTAAAAAATCAACTGAATGTGTCTGTGTGATGAAGGAAACTTTAACGTCATTACCTATGAGTATTTCAACTATAGTGTATACATCTGTTAACATGCGGAAAAACAATGGTCGATGAATTCATGGACTGAGAGTATGTCAGTTCATAGCTACCCCTAAACATTTTTAATATACTCCTGTGCAAGTCAGTATCAAAAGGAATCAGATAAAGACGCTAAGAAAAGATGAATCATACTTCCTAAATTTATCTTTTTATCATGGTTTTGTTTATCATTTCTCTTACAGTTGACTTCATTGATTCTGTTACCCCAATGTTGTTTCTCATACCATTTGAAAAATTTTTAGAACTTGCTTAGTAAACTTTTGTCACAATATTAATTAAAGCTCAATAGTTTACATTGAAAACAGACTGGATGTGCACAAACATTTTTTAGTCTTTCCTCTATATTACAACTCTCATGACCATCATCAAAAGGGTAATAGTATTTATAAACAATTGTATACACAAGATACTCAATGTCCATTGACCGGATATCATCAGCAACAGGCTACGGTGGGAGAGAACAAACCAGCTTCCATTTGAAGAGGAAATACGGAAAAGAAGTGAGAAGTGGATAGGACATACATTGAGGAAATCATCAAGCTGCATCATAAAAAAAGCGCTAACTTTCAATGCTGAGGGGTGAAGGAAAAGAGGAAGACCAAGGAACACACTGTGCTGGGAATCGGAAACAGACATGAAAAGGATGAACAGGAACTGGAAAGAACTGGGAAGGATTGTCCAGGACAGAGTTGGATAGAGAATGCTGGTGGGTGGCATATGCTCCTCCATGAGGGGTAACAAGCTTTAGTAAGTAAGTATATAATTTCACAAGTATAAGCAATATAGTGTGCTAATTATTTTTCTCATAATTGGAGTATGTGATATCTAGTCACTCAGACTAGTGGCTACATTGCAGTCTAATCAAAATGATTCAGTTAGCACAAGAAAACAAGTTGCATGCTTGATTTTAGTCACTGCTCGATTTCCAGTTATCTGTTAACAAAACATTTCATATAACTAATTCGAGAGAATGAAGAAAACAAGGGGATCATGTAAAATGCATTTCTGAACACTTTCTAGGGAAAATGTGAATTAGAGTTGTCAGTCTGTAACACCATGATTGTCAATCATTTGATGAATGCTAGTCATTCAAAATAATCGTTAGATAAACAATTATAAAGTCACAGTGTTTTACTTACTTTCAAAAAACTTAAGACTGACATATGAAATCAAGAGAGAATAATTATGAAATTACCGCCCACACAAATAAGTTAAGTTCTTTCGTTTACTCATTAAAAAACTAATTTAATACCTCAGTTATCTTGAGCGGGTGGATTGACTGAAATTAGAAATTAAGACCGTTTAATGCCGGCTCATAAGTCTAAAGGTTAGGCGTGAGCGCGAGACCGAATGTCCTGGGTTATGGATGCACACTATTGAGGATTTCTATGCCGGGCGAAATTGCCCGTCCAGTGCTTATAGGTTTCAGAGGTATTCTAACTTAGATCACTTCATGGATTCAATGAAAAGTCTCGAAGACTTCTGCTCTCATTAAACCATTTTCATCCAAAGTTTTTTCTAAACTTGTGTAAATTCTTTAACTTGTTATCCATTTTTAAAGTCTTTTCAAAATGTTCTATACAAATACATAAATTTAGTGATAACATATTACATTTTAAGTATTCAATGTCAACTTGTTTGATTATGAAACACTATGTTAAGATGTATTTTATCGGTT